CTCTCTCTCTCTCTCTCTCTCTCTCTCTCTCTCTCTCTCTCTCTCTCTCTCCCTCTCTCTGTCTATCGGCCCATCTCTCTCTGTCTGTCTCCCTCTTTTTCTCTGTTTTTATGCTTTAATTTTGCGTCTCTACCCTGTCTCTCTTTCTCTGTTGTCTGTCTGTCGGTCTGTCTGTCTGTCAGTCTGTTATTGTTCTGTTGTCAGTCTCATACCCTTCCTTCAGCCGCCCCCTCCCCTTTTTTTTCTCTGCCTCTCGTTGGGTGTCTCTCTGTCCCTGTCCCTCTCTCTTTCTCTCTGTTCCCGTCTATGACCCTCCTCCCCCCTCCTCCCTCTCTCTCCTATCTATCTCCTTATTGCTTTTTCGATCCTGGTTATAATTTTCTCTTGGCGGCAATCTTATTCTTTCCCTTAGTGGGTATTTCTTGATCGTTGAGGCTAGTGAAAAGGCGCAGAATCTGCACTTACTTATTCACTTGCGACTTACTCTGTCTCGCTCGACCACTGCCTCTCTCGTGCGTATTCATCAACTTGCTCTTTCACTTATTCACTCATCTTCGCCCTATTTCACCTACTCGTTTATTTTTGCGTTTACGATGCTCCTTCCCCGATTTACCCCCTCACTCACTCCCTTACTCACTCACTCACTCACTCACTCACTCACTCACTCACTCACTCACTCACTCACTCACTCATTCACTAATTCACTAATTCACTCACACACCATCACTAGGTTCGAATCCCTGATGGGTCAGAAATGGTCTCCTTTCATAGATGGCCGTTAAACTTTATTAAAACAACTCCCCTCCCGTCAAACGTCCACAAATTGATTTTCCTCTCCCAAGCACACCCGTGCTCGCCCATTTTTACTAACTTTCGCAATGCCGCTCTCCCACCCCCTCCTTTGACCACCCCCTCCCCCACCTTTCTTGTATGACCTGCATATGATTATTGATTTTTGTTTATTTCCCATTTGTTTTTGATGATGGCCGTTTCATCTCACTCGGTCAAAGGCTTCCTTCACAAGAATGACTTGTGCAGCTGTGCCTGCCTTTATATTATTATAAAACGTGTGTCCATCTGTGGTTATATTATGTTGGCCACAGTGGCTTGTTGATTTTGGTGACTTCTTGATGTTTTTTGTTGTAGTTGTTGTGTTCGTTCGTTTGTTTGTTTGCTTGTTTCTTGTTTTTATTGGCAGGGGGAAAGAGGGA